ATATGGGGTGGGAGGGGAGCCAAGGGTGGGGGCTATGGAATGAAGATGAGGGATATGGGATGAGGCTGACGGATACGTGATGTGCCTGTGGGACACGGGAYGGGAGAGGGGACAAGAGCGGGATATGGGACGGGCCCATTCCCTGCGTCTCCCACAGGCCTCCCTGGCCGAGGCCGACAAGATCACGCTGGAGGTGGCCAAGCTGCTCAAGGACGACTTCCTGCAGCAGAACGGCTACTCGCCCTACGACAGGTACCCGCGGGCACCGCCGTGCCCGGCGCCGGCCGCTCCGAGGGCCCCGCGCGCCGCGCCTGAGCCCGGCTCCGGCCCCCGCCAGGTTTTGCCCCTTCTACAAGACGGTGGGAATGCTCCACAACATGGTGACCTTCTAYGAGCTGGCGCGGCACGCGGTGGAGGCCACGGCGCAGGCCGAGCACCGCGTCACCTGGGCCACCATCCGCGAGAACCTGGGCGACATCCTCTACAAGCTGAGCGCCATGAAGTTCAAGGTAGGGCTGGGCGCGGGGGACGCGGGGGGACACGGGGACCCTGTGCGGTGCCACCAACGTCCCCGCCGTGTCCCCAGGACCCGGTGAAGGACGGTGAGGCCAAGATCATGGCTGACTACGCCCAGCTCAATGAGGAGATGCAGGCGGCTTTCCGCAACCTGGGGGACTGAAGGGGGGGGACGGGCAGCACGGGGGGGCACGGGACCGGGGCGGGGGCACTGTCACCAATAAACCATGGTGGCCTCCAACTGTGGCTTGCCCTGCCCTGGGTGGGGATGTATCCGGCCCCGGCATGCCGGGGCTCCGGGGATGCTGGGCTTTCCACATGTTGGAGGGGGCGGCGAACGGGGCTGCTCCAGCCCTAGGGGGGCAGGGGGATTTTGGGGTGTCCCGGTGCGGGACTCCAGCCTGGGCACCCACATGCAYGACGTGGCACTGCCATGGGGGCGTGGGGGAAGGCAGCGGGGAGGGAGCCCCCCCGAGCGGGGACCCCGCGGGACGTGCTTGGCCACGGCCAGGCCGGACGTCGGCTYGGGGCCGGTGCCAGCGCTGCCAGGAGACGCCGCTTGTTTGGGGACCCTTGGGGACAGYGGGAGCCGCCTGGCTCGCACGCGTGGGGGGGCAGCTGCAGGGGGGCACAGTCCCCCCATTGGGATGGATGGGGCTGCGATGCCCCCCCAAAACGTGGCACAGGGAGGGGACATGTCCCCCCATCTGCTCTGGCCCCCCGGTCGCTGTCACCCGAGGGGGRGTCCCGGTCACTATTTGTTCCCGGTGGGGGGGAGAGGTCCGGCCCGGCCTGGGCGGCGCCTCCGCCCGCCCCTTCATCCCCCCCCCGCGCCGTCCCTGCGCCCTGCCCGGGGCCGCCGCTGTCGGGGCCGCCGGAGGCAGATGCGGCTCCTGCTGCTGCTCGTAGCGCTCGGTGCCGCCCGGCCCGGTGAGTCCCGGCCCGGTACCGGTACCGACACCGGGCTGCCGGGGCTCCCAGGGGCGCGGAGGAACCGGGGGCCCCGCGGCAGCGGCGGGACGGGGCGCCCCGGGTCCCCTGCAGCCCCATGGGGGGAGGTCCCCATCCCCGCGGTGTCCCCGTCCCCCCAGCGCCCCCGTCCCGACCCCGCCCGTGTTCCCGCGCCCGGCCCCTGTCGCCCGCCACGTCCCACCCGGGCCGGGGATGTCGAGGGTGGCCGTGTGCCGGCGCGGGGGTGTCCGGGAGGTGTCCGGGGCGTTTCCGGGGGGGTGTCCAAGGGGGGTGTCCGAGAGGGTGTCTGGGTGGGTGTCGGAGTGTCCCGAGTGCACTCGGGTGCCCGGAGAGGGGCAGCAAGAGGGTCTCAGGAGGGTCCGGGTGGGTGTCGGGAGTGTCCACGCGAGTGTCCCTGGGGTGTCCGTGCGGGTGGCTCTCGGCCACGTCCGTTATGTCCCCAAGGGTGCCCGCTGCACCCCCCGCTCCGACCCCCGGGCCCCCCGCCGCCAACCCCGAGCAGCCGCTGACAGCGGCGTCCCGCAGGCCGGGCGRCGACGGCGACAGCGACGGGGACAGCGGCGGCGGCCGGGGGCTGCGCGGCCGACTGCGGCAGCCGCGTGG